CCATTACCCCCAGAAGCCCTGACTAGACATCTATAGACATTTAATTGTGGCAGGTGCGGGAACGCCAGCATCCAAGAAGGCGCAGAAGGCGCGAAGAGTCTTCAAGCAGAAGGCAAGTGAAGCGGGGGTTTCAATGGGTCTGTTGGGAGACTTTTTGACAGAGTTTATCAGACTGGTTCGATACAGTAGAAAAACCTGTTTAACCTAGAAACAAGTGCCTTCAGAAGCCCTCACTAGATGTTTAATTGCGGCAGGTGTGGATACTCCTCCACCAAAGAAGGCAAAGAAGAAAGAGGATCTTCCAGCAGAACGCGTTGAAGTGTGGGAGAGACTGGGTAAAGCTGGGTGTGTTTGCTCAAAGAGAACACTTTCATTAAACATCAACTCAGCAGCGATACTCAACGAGGCTCTTGGGATTCCTGGTGTGCGTGTGCGTGCGTGTTCTAATATATCCTATCTATGATATATCATGAAAAAATATGCGAATTATTGAGAATTTATGAGACCATGTTCTACAGCAGCTCAACCCACTACAAAATCAACTGTCCATGCTTTACAGCAGGTCAATCGATTACAGAATCGACTGTCCATGACAACCACCCCACCCTCAAACTTGTATAGAATCAAGGACCCCACCCTCACCAGTGCGGCACTTTTGACATCCATACCAACATATCGATTCCTTACAAAATCAACAGCCCCAAGAAAGAATGCTGCCCTTACAAAATCAACCTCCCCACCCCCACAAAAACGGGTACCTGGAAGCAAACTTTTTTATTTACAATATCGAAGCTCTTTTTGTTACCCAGGTAGGTTGATTTTGTAAAGGAAATTTCAACGGGTATACGGGGTATATTCGTCGGACACAACCTCGGCTCTCAAATTGAGACACGCATTGGGATATATCAGAACGCATAGAACACCCTATAGGTAAATAAAGGCCTAAGGAAACATGCAGCAGTTTCCGACCGTGAAGTTCCAAGTGCCAAACATGAAGTTATCCTGAAAACTCCAAGTTCCAAAGCCTCCAAAGGCTCGAAGCGCATTAGCCCCTTGCTGCAAATAACGAAGTGGACAGCGCTGGCCAACTTGGGCTCAAGAAGGGCGGAAACGCAGGTACAAGTGGACCCTTCCCGCGCCGGCCGTAGCTTCATTGCGCGCGGCATGCGTAAAAAGTCTAAACAAATGCTGCTTCTGATTCCAACGCTTGCCCGCACACACTTATAGATCCATGCTCACAAGAGCTCTATCAGTTGCGACTTCCCCGTGGAGCTAGCACTTTACGTTAAGTTACTGAAAGCTAGACCTGGACTTGCAGAACGGAAAGGTGGTAGAGTCCGCAGCAACAGAATGCTTCAACATCACGCATTAGCACTTTAGTGGCAGCAAAGGAGGGCAAAACAGCTTAACAACCAAGCGCAAAGCTTAAAACTAGGTGCAGGTTGGACATGGTCCCTGAACGCACACCATGTCCCCTGCTAGTCTGTACAAGAAGTATCCCACATGCAAACAGCCGCGGTCATTCTCCTTGGAGACAGGACGCGACAGCCGTAGTCGGCGCACCCTGATTGGTCACGAAGTGTCATGGTGTAACCCGGAAAGTAGCAAGAAAGTGGTCACGCAGTAAAGAAAGTGCGAGATCGATTCACCACAGAAATCGAAAACCGGGGGAGAGCGGGTGGACGAAATCAGTTATGCAGTGAGGAAACCTTGTGCTAGACAAATTAGCTCCTTCTTTATGCGCACCATGCGTTCACACTCTTTTGGTGGATGCCCTTTCTGGACGTAGAATGTGACAAGGTGGAGGAGCACTCTCTCCACTGCAGCAGGCAGATACGTGTACTTCTTGATGAGGTGGGCCCTCGATGTGAAGCCCGAGACGCGGAGTCGAATTAACCAGCAAAAAGAAGCAAAGTCACGTATTTTCCACGTGGCTGTGCGTGGTATGTAAGTGATGGTCCGTTGGTCAAGTTGATGTCAAAGCCCAGCAAGTGCATGTCTTCAACCGGTTCCAGCTCTACTGGGTCGCCGAAAAAGTCTGTATAGGGGCTCGAATGCCGGTGCTGTGGTTGAGGAAGGTCTCGTTGATTCTCGTTGAAGATGATGAACCGGATGTCCACGCACCGGTGGTAAGTGAAGTGTATCTGAGTGTGGTCTGTGGGGCTGCGATGTAGCTGGGCCCATGAGTGTTCAATGAGGGTGATGGCCACGTAGCATAATGCGTTGGGAGCCAACGCCGGCTCCTCGGGTCTGTTGGCACAAAGTGGCGTACGCTTGAAAGATGCAGGTGTTGAGCGCCGTGCGGACAATGTAGAGGTGAGGGATGTCGTGTGTGTGTGTCGATGGTGTGTTATGTGGGATGTCTGCGGCGGCGCTGACCAGTGGGAGTGTTGCATGGGGTTGCCGGTAGCTTGGATATCAATGGTGAGAGTGGAGGTGTCAAAGGTGAGGTTCCATTTGGTGGTGAGGCTCTGCATCGATCAGGCGTTCTTGTGGAACAGAATTGAAGAGGCAAACCAAATCATCATTTGTGGGGTGGAGTGTGGTGGAGTCTGGTGTGTTGGCTGTGGAGGTGTCCGCAGTGGAGAGTTGGCCAGGAGTCTGTGGAAAGAGGCGGGAGATCACGGTGTTGCATGATAGCGGTGGATGTGGCTCTGAGGAGGAAGCCGTGTGCGGACTTGAAATAGGAAACGATGGCACGGCCTTTGCGCCATTGCTTCTGGGATTTGAGATGTACTATGGGGTATGTTGAACTTGGCTCTCGAAGCCCCAGCGATATTTTCGACGCAAATCGCCGGGAAAGGCGCAGTGGAGATGTTGTTGGAGGGTGTCGGTGGTGTGATGTAGTTGAAGGAGTTCGGGGGATTGCCATCTGGCGAGGCATCCCTTGAAGTAGAGCTGTGGAAGCGTGGTTGCACTTGAGCCATTTGGCGATGGCTTGGAATGTGTCAAAGTACTGATGTTTGGAAGAAAGCGCTGTTCACGTTGGCGGCCGATCCAGTGGTGTAGGTGGGAGGGGAGGCGCAAATCGTCCAGAGTGAGAACAGCACCCCGCACAACGCCATGTAGTGCAAAATGATGTCAGCTGAAACCTTTTATTGTCAAAAGTTGGTTCAGATTCACGGCCACGCGCCTCGTCCAAAGCTCAGGTCCGTGCAGGGCGAACAGGCCAACGATGGGAATGGAACTGGTCGCGTTCCTCGGGGCATGGCCAGCGGCAATCTCTTCCACCGGGGTCACATATGACCACTGGACTCTAGAACTCGTGGACCCGAACTTGTCCTCCAAAAGAAGGCGGCATCGCCTGCCCAATGGCCTTGCTGGCCACAGGCTGAGCAATGCGTCGTTCTTTTGCGATCTGCTATGGACCCCTTGGGCGTTGAAGATGATGCCGTGTTACCGTACTTCCGTCCTTGAAGGACGCTGGCAAGGTTGCTGCTGGCCGTGACCGTCAGGACCTCGGCCACTTGTGGGTCATCTTCGTCCCTTGGTCTGGAGGCATGTCTCCTTTGAGGGCGCCGTCTTGTTCGCCTTCGTCTTCATCAGGCGTTTCCGCCTGCTGGAGATGCGGGTCGGCGTCAGAATCTTGCTGCTCGGTTTCATTGCCTCCGTGATGAAGGTCTGCTTCACTGGTGGGGATGTCTTCCCCTTCCCTTTGCCCTTTCCGCCTGGTTGATGAGCTCGACAGCCTTTGCCACCACTGGTAGCGCCTTATGTTCTGGCCATTAAGAAGAGGAGCACGTCCTTGATGGTGTCGGGCTCCAAACTTTGGCCCGTTCCAATGAGCATCTGGCGCTGATGCTCATTGGACAGTTTTGCCCGTTCAAGCACGCAAGCTCCACGTGCTTCAGCGTCATACATTGCACATGTCATGCACCCGGACGCCAACTGTTCCAGGTGCTCGTTCTGTCCTGGAGTACCGGTTCACGAAGCTGCGCATGCTCTACTGTGCTGACCGGTAGATGCGCTCGTAGGTGTTGAGCAGCTGCCGTTTGAGATGCGCAGATCTCGTTTAAACTGCTGTTCGGATGGTGTCCATGATGAAGGTCACACCATCAATGTCATTCTCCACTTGGGGCGTCTTCTAACTCCCTTTCAAGCCTTTGAAGAGGAGGATCACAGCTTCCTTCTCGGGGACATAGTCCACTGCGGTCATAGCGCCATCCAAGTGGTTGAGGTGGTTGACCCCTTCAGGGGTTCCAGGTGCTGGAAGAGCTTGTCCCGCCCAGTGCCATGGCCATGATCTGATGGAGGTGGATTGCCATGTAAGTGAGGATCATCTTGAGGGTGTTGCGGCGTCTCCGTCTCTTCCTCTTGGCTTCTGGTGTGTCGTTTTGAGGATTTCCTGGCGTTGGATCACGTCACCTTGGGCTTGGCCGCACGCTTCTGTCTCAGCCCATTCTGACCCTTCAGGTGGGTTGTCGCCATGAGGTCGTAGAAGAGCTGGTCCTTGGTCAGGTGGAGGGCGCCGAGAGGGACATGAGGATATCCAGGTCCGGTGACATGAGGGTATCCGGGCTACTGTCTGGTATTGGGCTCGGCTGTGGGAGGCCTGCTTGGACCGTAGGCTCCATGGTCGACCAGGTTCATGCGGTCTGCTCGAAGAACAGCTGTGGAGGTGTGCAGTGAGAACGAGCTTGAACCACACCCGTAGCAGCGCCAGGCCGTCCTTTCCTCACTCCAGCACCACATTGGAGACATCGCCATCGATCATCAAGTGGGACAGGTGGTTGTGAGCGAGAGGTCACTGACCGTGGAGGGGTCGAGGACAAGCTGGGCCGCCAGGCCGTTGTAGCCACACCCGGCCGAGGGTCCATCAGCGGCTGGTCAACCTCGAGTTGGGGCATTGCATCGGCGAGGGCGACAGGGAACGGAAGCACGAGGGCAGGCTCCGCTGCCAACACAGCGAAGTGCGTGCGGCAGCACTCGCTTCCTTTTCAGCAAAGCTTGAGGGTCAAGGTGCACCTGCAGAACCGGAGACTCCTGAATCACGAATGCTACCATGCATTTTCACCTTGCAAGCTCTGACTTAATACCAGTGGTCGGTTCTTCAAAAGTGGCCCTTTCCAGAAAAACGCCCCTCAGCAAAAATCCAGGTTTCTTTGACAAGAACCTGTCTTTCTCAAAAGGTATGCAAGCATCCCTTCCAGGTTACAGGTGTGTATATATATATATATTATATTCATATCAACGAGTCGGGATCTTCCGCCTCGACCCTCCACGTCCTATCCCACCTGTTGTCGCCAAGTCTCAAGGAGGTCTTGTCGCGCCGCTGCCAAGGCACTCATGGCCTCCTCGGCCCTTTTGGCATTCGTCAAACTCCAGGCGACCAAGCTCTGAGCGGATGCAGAAGCACCGAGACCCACCAAACAAAGAAAGAACATCTCCAGTCCCACCTGATCAGCTAACTTAGGCGATGGCCGATGGACCGAGCCGCGAAAGACGAAAGGACACCCATGACTGAACCGTCATGCCAAAGCAAATGTTCAGGTGACACGGAGACCTGTTCGCTGCTTCTCTTATTGTTCTTCATATTTCTTCGAGAACAGCACTGCACCGCAGTCAAGGTGCTAGTCCTAGTCTGCTCGCAGGACTCGCGATATCGGAGACGGTGGCCATAGTAACAGTCTGACTTGTTACAATACACGAGCAAATAAATTCCTGAGCTGCGGCTGCGGCTACGCTGGCGATCCTTAACCACATTGAGCTGCCTTTCGTGCATATGCTAATGCCGCTTACTAATGCCTTATTGACCCTAAGAAATCAACATGCATGCAAGTCTAAAAGGATCCATCAAAAAGCATCAAAAAGGTATGATTCTACAGGAGGTTCTGTTTGGAGTTGAGATTGTGGATTTGGTTCCCTGAAAAGACACTGGCTTGTAAAACATCTGTCGCACCAAATCGAACATGCTTAACTCCCTCTCCAAGCTTCACCGAAAGCACACTCGAGCGGGCACATCAAAGGAATCGACATCAAGGTCCTGAAGCTAAAATAGACCAATCTTGTAGAGAAGTATCCATCAGACAGCCTGGGAAGGAGGTGCACGACCGATTCCATCCGGTCACCGCAGAGAGTTCCGGCGGACACCAAGTCAAATCGGACCGAGGCACTCGTGGCCACATCGATATCCCCAGTTTTGAAGAGCAGTGATGCAAATCCAAGGCAAGTAGAAGATCAGGGCCAAGTGCTGGTCAGAGATCTTCGAACGAAACTTGGCGTCACTCATGACCTGGAAATCAAATTGGACGGGGGAGGGGAGTGTTTTTTAAATGTCAAGAAACATGTCGCAGCCACGATCTTGACACCCTGGAGTTTCAGCGAAGCGGGTGCCCCTGTCATCCACTCACTCGATGGGACTACAAACATCTAACTACCACGTCGTCTTTGGCAGGAATTCCTGGCAGCCAGGAGTCTTGCCGGGCGTGCGACAAGTGTTGTGACTGGAGCATGTACCAGGGCCCCCTAGGGTAGTTAATAGACACCCTCAACCTCCAAGGAGCTACAAATGGACACCCCTTAGGGGGTCCTGGTATGGGACATGCACCGTTCAACATCTTTCGAGTGGCCATGGAGTCATGGCCAGCGGGTCATGCACCTACAGAGGCCACCGACCTCTTCAGGTCTTTCGGTCCTCGCCTTTTTGAAGATGCCAATGAAGGTGACGACATTCATGCCCAAAGCTCCGTAGTCCAACTCGATGACACGTGTCCAGCATGTATCCATGACCAAGATCGCCACGAAACCGACCACGTATGAACTAAGGCATATGATGATCAAGTAGGGCAAGCAACTCGTCAGGACAGTCCTCGAAACGGACGTGACCCGGGCGGAGCGCCGGAGGGATCCGTCTCCGGACCGAATCCCAAGCGAGCGGGCCAGATCGATGTGTTTGGAGGCATGAATTGGGACAGCTGAGAGTGGTTTTTGAGGGAACAGTCCACAAAACAAACGGTTCCATGCATAAACCATGGTGGGCAGTTGTGTCAACTCGAAAGGACTAGTGACACTTGAGATTTGAAGAACCGATCAAGTGTGCAAAAAGAATGCTTAGCCACCCTCATAAAGGACCATGTGCTACACTAGGCTGCAGTAAAAAAGCACTGGGAGGGAGAATCTCTTCGACAAGTGTGATCATGTCCCCTTCTCTCCGTCTCAAACCCGCCCAAGTAGCGCTTGCGCTTCCTGTCGCTCGACGGTGAGTGCCTGCCCCTTCTCTCCGGAGGCCAGAACCGCCTGCCCAATTTGTCGGATGGAGACCTTTTCCTCGGCGGAGCGGCACAAAGGGCCGCGGCGGTGTGTCGTTGGTTGCGTCGTGTCCGGTCTACCGGGCAGAACATCCATTTCCCCAGTCGGCGGTCTTTTCCTAATGAACCAACATTGAAGCAGTCAAGTTGCCAAGGCTAGGTACCCGGCAGAGATGCAGAAGCCAGTGAGGCATGCGGGAAAACAGGTCAACTCGGACAGATTCATGGAATTCAGGCCGCCGGGCAGTTCCTACGCTCGAAGATCCGATGCCTGATCCACCAGATCTATATGGGCAAATGTGATGCTATTTTGCAGCATGGAGCATAGATCCTCATGAAAATATATGATCAAACTAGTTTGCGGATGTGTCGACCCTTTCAAACTCTCTACTACCAGCTTGACTAGCAAATTCTGAGCGGATCGTCTCGCTAACAAAAGATGGCTATACAGTTTCCACTTGAGCCGGGGCCATTTCGGCACTGCACGTGGTGGGAGTTTTTCAAGCTCGGATGGTGTCAATATGTGTCAATGGTGCCTCACTCTACAAGCCAAGCCCTATATAGGTAATTAACCCATCTACAATGGTCCCACTACCTGCACAACAAATGTTCAAAAGGCGTTCCCGGCGTTCCCCACACACACCTGGATTTCCGTGTAGCAGATACCTTCGGATGTTCTAGCCCTCTAGTCTAGAGTGTCCCGCTTTTGTTCTGTACAAAGCACCAAACAGCGGATGCCAAGCAGAGTTGGTCGAGGCATGTCAACTGGGACCCGCGTGAGGTGGATGCTGTGGAATCGAGCCCCCAAGCCTCAAACAGCGGAGACTCCCTCAAGCAATTCACTGAAGCTACAAACCTGTACAGACCTAATTAATCCTAATTCTTCGCCATGAAGGGCGGCCACCCGCGCTGCTATGCTGATGTCCCGTGTGTCTGACCGGGTGCCCCCGCCCGAGGACTGGCGTCGTCGGCATGGCCAGAGCATGTCAGTCCTGAAACACACCTGAGAGATGTCCACTTTTGGCTCACAGCAGGTGTTTTGAGATGTCTGCAGGTACCGATGTTTTGATGTTTTTTGTGTTTTGCCCACCGAAGATGGGAAGGTGCTGCTTGGCAAACGAAGGCCCGATTTGTTTGTGTGCAAGAAAAAGGCTTTCTGTTGGCACACAAAACGATCTGCACAGCAAAGCTGCAGGTGTATTTTTTGGAAAGAGAATGAAAGATCTGTGGTGGCCCTGTACTTTGTGTATGGATTGAACGGATTTTGCAATCTCCCTTGCAAGAACCCGGCAGACAATGAGCCAGGCTGCCGCGTTACAATTCCATTCTCCAGTCTGCAGCACATAGTGCTAGCAAATGAGCCATCACCGCTCTTTTTCTGCTAGTAGGATCTAGCAGGTCCGCAGAATTGTTTTGGGATCCAGCAACGCTGGCGTGTTGGAAGAATGCTTCAAGCCAAGCTCTGGGTTGTGAAAGGTGAAGTGAAGAACCAAAGGAACAACCCTTTTTGGGCGAGCAATTCTGGAAACCCTTTTGGGTCATAGCCTACTCGTGCTATAAGAATTGGCCCATGGCCATAGCCTACTCGTGCTACTGGGTTGGCCATCATGGATATGGGTGGCAAAGGGACCACACCCAAATCTCGCAGGTTTTTTCTTGGCAGCTTCGGCTGACCTTCTCCCAGCTCGTTGCAATGTCCTCCTTTTCAAGGAGAAGCGCGCCCTATGGGAAAGGTTCCAAGAAGCCTCCCTTGCAATAGAAGAATTGGAGGCTCAGTTCCCTTGGAATAAATCACCAAGCTTTATCCAGGAGATATTCACCTGGCATGTTTCGCAAAAACAAAAAATCATGTCACATTGCTTCAGCCCCTTCTGCCACGCAGAGGAGGTTGCTCCCCTACCCCGCGAAACAATTTCTCCTGACAAGCCACCATTTTTGGGTTCACTCCCAGTGGAATGGGCCGACCTTCGTCCATCCAAACGCAAAAAATACATTGTTCGAAGGAAAAATCAGAGATGGGCTTTGATGTCGGCTGTGGGAATTGTCTTTTGTCTGTAGATGAAGAGTTTGTATGCCACCATGGCTGAAACCCTGGTAGTTTGGATTCTATAAGATCTGGAATGTTACCACTGTCTGGCTGAACTGGAACCTACCCGATGCAATCTGAGTTCTTTGGCACCGGCGAGCCTTTGTTCCACCGCTCTTCGGCGAGCTTCGCTGGGCCACACGACGGGAAAGTGGCCAATTGCTTAAGATGTACAGAATTTGATGTTTTTTGCGGTCGGTTTTGAGGCACGGTTCCTACCTGCTCAAAATGTAGTGAGATTTAGTATGGTCAATCTGAAGCTTGGTAACTAGACTATATAGACATCTATAGGCTATATAACATATGATACATATAGATCTATATATATATAATGCTATGTGTATTGGTGCTTCAGCGTATAGCTTTCAACCCTGTTCAAGCCCATCCACTCCGCACCTCCGCACCTCCGTTCGGCCACCGCTTCGGCCACCGGCCGGAACCCTCCGCACCGCCGCTCTCAGGCATCACCGACCTGAGAGGACGGCCGTAAGGCGAAAGAAGCCGCGGGGCGACCTGAGAATTCCCAGTCACAGCTGCACCAGCAGGCCTCCTGCATCGACCAGTTCCCCTGGTCTGGCCCTCTTGAAAACGGGCTGGACGGTCCGACGGCCCCGTTCTGAAGGAAGTATCCCTTGCTTGGCCGGCTTGGCCCCGGCTTGGAACCTTGGTGCTAGAACCCACCTACTCAGAGGTGCCCTTTCTGGCCGCGAGACAGCTCTCAAACACGACGCGCAAATCTGAGAAATGCGGCTTAAGTAGGGCTTTTCTTCGACACTCTGCATCTAGATCTCTGCAAATCACACCAGCTTCCCGTTCACGCATGCCTTGACTCCACCAACTGAAACGAAAAGGATGTAAATGATAATGTGTTAATTATCATAGGGGCACCGACAGATTTGGAATGCCACTCCAAAAGATGCCGTCATGCCCAGTTGATGATACAAAAGATATCAAAAGATATTATGTACAACAAATGCAGCAACCGTTGCATCATCACTTGCGTCACCAAGGCCGTCATAGTGCAACATTTTGCCGACCCATTTTTTCGTTCTCCCCCAGCAGCCTCTCTCCTTCCAAAACCTGTCCTTTTTGACCTACCCCCCCCCCCCACACACATATCCTAAAACTCACTTCGTTCGCCTAAACAGAACTTCAGCCTAGCCTATCAGCTGGCTTTCCTTATTGATTTCGGGGGCCTCCGGCCTCCCTATTAAAACACACAGTCCAGATTCTCAAACTCCAAACACGCCACGCCATGCGCACCACGCCATGTGCACCACGCCAGGATCGGTGGGAGGGACGTCCGATCCTGGAGTCGCGCAGATCTAGTGGTGAACGGAGACATCATACCTTCGCTGCACCAGGTGATCAGAGGCTGCAAGCCTCTGTCAAACTGTAGTAAACTGCATGATGGTACGAACAGGCAACATTGTACCAGCACCTTCAAAGGTGTCACCAATGGAAGCCCCTACACTACTAAGGAACTTCCAGCCAGGACACCCCGAAAGAAGATTCAGGTCGAATCCTCCTCCGGACGCCACAAACAAAGGTTGAGCCACCCACCGCACCCGAACGAGTCCCGTTCCGCCCGAACGAACGAGTCCCGGCTCGGCCAACCGACCACGAGCGCGTTAGGAGCACCGTTAGACGACATGGGAAGCTCCAAGCAGCCGCTCCCTTGCTCATGCGGAATTCGTGCTCAGTGGCACAAACCAAACACCTGGCAACACGCTCAGAGTCGTGCGGCATGGCATGGGATAGAGATGAGGCTGTCACAAGACCATGGCGTGCTGTACCGGTCTTTGTTGGATCGGTTCCCGCTAAATTGCGTTCGGGAGGCCAACTTATAAGCTCTATGTCTTGCTCTATGTCTAAGCTCCATATGATCATGATGACCGCAATGTCATTTGGTCAGTCTGATCCTTGCTTCTGCTTCACTCCCAAATTGACATCCATGTGTCCATGTTCGAACTGTCCCGACTGGGCATATTCCAGTTTTCAGCCCAAACCATCGCATTCGTAACAACACTGAGGGAAGTAACGCACAGTGCTGACAGAGTTTAGCCAGAGCCCATGCCAGCCAACCCAGCTCCACTCCAAACGTGTCCTTCTATCTTCAAGTCAAGTCAAGAACCAGCATAGTAATCCCCAAATAGATGGTGGCACAGTTTCCAATACACTTTGAGTGGGGATCTACGAACTTCTATCTATGACAGGGGGTCCAAAAAACACCAAATCCTTCGCATTGCTCGTGTTTAATAAGCCCCGTTCCGGAACCCCAAAACCCCAAGGCCCCGCTCCGGAAACTTCGCCAGGAGGACTGATACCGGACCACCCGGCTGGCATCCTTGCGATCCCGGAAGTATGCCTGGACGATGGGGACTGGACTGGAGCGCAGACGGATTGCTATGGCGAGAAACAGGGTCAGATTGGAGACATAGGTGCTTTGAGAACCGTGATTGTGCTTTCCGCGAAATCTGATTGGTATGGCGATCTCCCATCCTTTGCCTGAAACCAGGAGTGAGGGGCAGAGCTCTTGCACCGGTGACGGCCACTCCTTTTTGCTTCCGCGAGTGAGCCAAGCAGCGGATCAGCTGCCAGATCGCCGTAAGCCACGTTGCCTGAACACCATGCACCCGGGTTCGAATGTTCTGCGATGGAACACCATCGCCTTTCGCTGCATCCTGGAACGGTCCCACGGAGCTAGTGAGATTGGGATGCTGACAATGCCATCCTAGAGTTGACCTATCCAAGCATGTGCCTCCTAAGGGGTAACGATCTACCCTTGCAAAACCCCCCAAGTTGGCCAGAAGCTCTTGATCCTGATCCGCCGCATGAGGGAACACCGAACACACCCTTGGATTGGAGCGAATTGGCATCTTGTGAGGATGTGTGGACCGTTCAGGGAGAAACTTGGACTGAATGAGTTGTGGAGACGCACCTTCGAGTCTATATGCACATGGTGCAAGTACTAAGTATATACAGTGTACTCGTATTCATCATTGGGATTTGTGTCGAACTATGAAAGACACAGAGTCCGGGATCATCTCGATGGCAATGACTCTAGGGTCGATGACAAGAAGTTTGCAGTTTGTGAAAGAAAGAACAAAAACAACCTAAGGATGGAGAACACCTAAACTAGTTATGAGAAAGGTAAAAGGTGATGTAATATCTGCAGCTTGATGAGCTTTGAGCAAAGGGCTCTCTAACCGCAGGTGGCCTGAAAGACACATTAATAAAATTGTCCCAGCTGCGTGGGGTTGTACAATGGTTTCTACAGGTTTAGGGTTCGAACAAAGTGTAAATAATCACAAGTCTGTGAAAACACGATATCTTGATATATCTTGCTAAGTTGTTTGCCTCAATCTTGGGTTCAGTATCTCGTGTTTGCTGCCTGAACACTCTCCAGAACCCTCCGGGTCTTCCGGGTCACGGGTGAAGGCCACGGTGACGGTGAGATTCAGCACCGAATGCCACCAGTTGGGGGGGATGTACAGCAGGTCTCCTGCCTTGTCCGCGGATCGGTCGTGTCAAACATCGGCTCCGCGGATCGAGAGTGGACCGGGTGAACCGTGTGTCAGAGCATGGTCTTTTTTTCGATTTCGCAACAGGTAGGAGTATCTGCAATTTTTGGTGAAACACTCCAGACGTTCTTTCAAACCTCGGACTTTCCACTCCATACATGAGAAACTGGAAGAACAAGGTCCTTCTGACAGTTCACTTGAAGCTTCCAAGCATCCATGAAAGCAACAAATATCGCAGTGTGATGATGAACTGTTGAATCGTAGTGTGATCCTGCTGCTGATGATGATGATGACGACGACGACGACGATGATGATGAGAAAACAGATTAGGAGGAGGAGGAGGAGGAGTAGGAGGTGGAGGAAGAGGAGCAGGATTCACAATAATATTTAGCTCTTGGTGTTTGTAAGCGAACTTCCACACTGGCTCAATTCGTGGAAGGATCTTTCGGACCTGTTTCTTGGGGCCTGCCCAACATTCTAAGGATGATGGTGGGCCTCTACGAAAATTCCTGATAAACATGTTCTGTCAGTCATGGATGATTACAGTGAAAGACGACACCCTTTGTCCAAGTCAAGGGCTTTGTCTCAAGGCCATCGTCTTTTGTATCGCGGTTGTGTCAGCACTTCTTGTTCAATCAAAATAGCACCATACCATTCTTGGAGGACGGACACCCTTCAAAGAGCTCGAACTCACAGGAACCGTTTGACAAAGAACACGTGTCTTTTTATTGATCTGAGAAACACAAAATCCTACAAAGGTTCAACGTCCTGTTTTTGATGTGTTTTGTAATCCCCTCGGTGTCCTTCAGCGTTAGCAGCTTTCAACACCCCGCTATGAAGGGGTTTGAAGGTCAGCCGCTCGTGTATCCCATGTAATGTCAAGTTAGGATTAATCAATCCCCCCTAGTTAACCCGAGCCCACAAAGCCGCCGAAAATTGCCCAAATTAAAAGTATTATTCGCTGTTGATTTCCCCCCCTATGGTCTACTTTTCTACCAACAATCCCCCCAGTTAATCCGAGCCCACAACCAGGTCAACTTTTCGTATTACTACTACTACTACTACTCCTGCTACTACTACTACTACTACTACTACTAGGAAGTCGTCAACGTGGACGATGCAGCAAACCTCCAGGTAGCCGTTGGCGTCCCGGCTGTAGAACATCATATGCTCAAGCTTGTGTCGAGTCAGCTTGGCGTCATTCATCAGGACCTTGGTGACATGGGTTGTCCAGGTCCTTGGTGCGGAACAAAAACCGTACAGGTTGCCGACCACCTCGTAGAGCTCTGCCGGAAAGGTTTTGGCCATTTGCTGGATTCCATCCCGTGGTGGCTTCATGTAGAGAGGCAAGGGTCGTGCTTCAGGACTTCCTTGGAGGAAAGCCGTAGAGACGTCTCCAGCCCAAAGCTTCCATCGATGCTTCTGCCTCTCGACTCGGGCGTTCAGCCCAGCGCTTGCCCTGCTACTGCTACTGCTACTGCTACTGCTACTACTACTACTCCTGCTACTCCTGCTACTCCTGCTACTCCTGCTACTCCTGCT